TCCGTGTACAGGGACAAATGAAGTTTCAAAATCTGTCTATTTTTGATGAGGCGGCAAACTTCAGAAGAATAGCAGTACTTGTTTAGCGCACATCGAAAGGTCGCATACTTTCTGATTTCTGAAGATCGCTTCTGAAGAAGCAGGAGCAAAGTTCTGATTTTGATGTTTTCACTTTATTTTGGGGGAGATGATGTTGTTGTTGTTGGCCATGCACAAATTATTACGAGCATATTGCTGTCGATAAGTACATTGTGTCGAATTAAATAAATATGCAATTCCTCGAGCAACTATAAAAGGCTGTTTGTGTTTTCTTTTCAGAAAGACAATTATTATTATTATTATTATGTTGATAGATTAGTGGGACCCAAATCAAAGGATAGCAGCATGCAATCATGTGATAGACTAGAGTGCATTTAGAGATGTAATCCACTCGAATCAAGCTTGAGTACGGCAATACTCGAGCTCAACTCGACATGCAAGAAGGATATTTGAGCTCGATGCTTTCTCACAGAATTCGAACTCGACTCGCATGAGCTTAAGTTGATGCGAGTCTTATCAAGTTCAAGCTAGAAAATTTTATTTTCTTGATCATTTTTTATCAAAAAAATATTATTGTCCTTTAAAAATTTTCATACTACTTGAAATATTACATAAATTTAACAACTTTTTTAGATATAAAGGTAATTTTATAATAATAATATATTAAAAAATTAAAATTAAAAAGCTTTCGAACATTGCTTTTGAATACTCGAACTCGACTTGTTTGGTTTATCGAGGCATTCGAACTTGATCAACCCGAGTCCGAATTAAGTTTTTCACCAAGCTACTTGCGAACTACTCACAAACAGTTTGGTTTAATTACACCCCTAATTACGATGCGTTGCATTGCATTGAGGAAGGCATGCTGTCATGCTGTACAAGTCGGCTCGCATATGAGACTGTAGAATTTGAAGGAAGAATGAATATATGGGGCGACCTTAAGCAATTAAACTGCAATGAGATGAGATGGGCGACCTTAAGCAAATAATTAAAGGTAGACACTAGACAGAGAGAAGAACTGATCAGAAGGCATTTTAAGTTAATAAAAAAAAAAAGGAGGGATGCCGGTATTTTGTCATGTTTCAGCCAAAACTACTGAAGTGGGCAAAATCCATGTGTGGCGAAGGTCCACAACCTTGACGATGAAAGCTAAAAAATGTCACACGTGTGATGTCTAATTTGTCTGCACAGCAAGGCACGAACCTACACATCCATCCAATTAAGTGCACAACACACTTTTGGCTTATGCATGCTGGGACCAAACAGTGGAAATAGATCTCGTGGCCTGTTTTGCCATCCCAAGCGACTCATTATTTACCTTCCCGGGATCCTAATCCAGTTATTGTATATTATGCGAAGTTAACACGTCTGCATCACTTTTTTGGAAGTTGGAAGGACATACATTCGTACAGGTCCGCCTTACGGATGAGGTGTTTATGCATAAGTGGCTGCACAGATGAAAGAACAGATGGAAGAACTTGTAACTGCAACTGCCCATGATATGTAACCTAGCTTGGACAAGATTTTCCAACCTTCCGTGTACAGCAATGCAATTGAAGTTGTGGACCCTTTTGCCAATTGCCGTGGTCCTTTCTCCGCATGCAAGTCTTGCAAAGGTTACAGCCTGCACAAATGACGATGAATCGAGTTGGGCAGCCAAGAACAAATTGATCACCTCATCCTCTCCAACTACACTGCCACTAGATCTAGCTATACTTTGTTTTGTTTTCCAAATCCATCAGCTTTTGCTTGTTTGATGATTTATTCAATTCAATACGGACGTGGAAAACCATCCCGTATTGTTCTGTTCGCCATGAAGTATAATGTAGGGCTCAAATCAATCAAGTGATTAACAAGTTCGTGATTTCTCCTGTTTTTAGATTTCGGATGCTGCAGCTGGTTAAGTTATCAAGTTGAGCAAGTGATATATTCATAGTTTCGTTCGGCATTTGAGATTGAGACAACTTTGATTACTGTTGGGTGATGAATAATGATCAGAGAAGCGAGGTTTTCGCAGCTGGTATCTTTTAGCATTATGCCAGTCAGTCATTTCTACTTCATTCAACTGCGAGATATCTGCTCTCTGATCTATACTGTTAGCGTACCTAACCGATGAACAAAAGTTAAATCTCCTCCAGTGCATTGTACTTGCACTTTTTCTTCGTTTGCGGTGGACAATCATGCGATGTACTTTCACCTTATTTCTCCCTCCGACTCGTATATCGTACAATATCCCTAGTTACTAACCCTCACAACCACACACACAGTCGACAAGACAATGACGACTAGGTATCGATATAATGATATTTTGCACCAAGAAATACCCACTTTGATGAGCATAAGGTCATGTTTTGTTTGAGAAGTGGTGAAATACTAAAACTCGATAATTGATTAGGTAATAAATACTATATCTATTTAGGCATGCCTGTTATATATGGTTAATTTTATGTTAAGTAAAAGCAGACCATTCGCCTCTGTAACCAGAGTTGTTTCTTTCTGCTCATAAGTTGCATTCTGAGAATTAAGGGTTTGTCTAAATGGTGGTCATTCTTCAATTCTGCCGACTACAAATGTGTAACATGTATATTATTGATCTTTTCTTTCCCCTTCGCTTCCTTTACTCCTAGGAACTAGACACTCACTTCCATTAGTCGATCCTAGCCAATATGGAAGAGTGAGTCTGTGTCGCTATTCTTTTTTTTTGCCCCCTCTTTTTAACTCAAGATTTTTCTTATTTTCTTTTGCACTTCCTGTTTACTAAATTTGCCCACTATATGGTATATACCATGTGTGTTTCTAGAAGTAATGAAAATCGAAAGTAACCAGATGGCCATATAAAAAGCATAAAGCTGCACCTCCATGAAAGCATAATAGCTTTCTTGTATAAACACAAGTGTGCGAGTCCTTTCATATCAATTTCAAAATGTCTAAATCTGATTATTAATTGCCTTAGAATTTTGAAGTCGGGATTTCTTGATCGACCATAGAATGCCAATCTCTTCATTCATTCTTCCAATTTTTTGACAAAAAAGGAGAAAGAAAAAGACAATGATGTTTTGCAAAATAGGAGTAAAATGACAGAGAATTCCTTTATCAGATCAGTACTGTCGGAAGTCCACGAACTCATATACTTAAAGTGGTCCTATAAGTTCATACCACTCCTCCAATAACCTTTCGTATGTATGGTATAGAAATTGAAATTTCAACCATCCGATCGAACTAAGTCAAGTAGATATTGGCATATTAATATCACATTGATTTGGTACACTTATGAATTTTTCATATCCAACATTCACATTTGTTAGGACTTAGGAGGCAGTGTTTGGTCGGAAGGAAAAGTGGGAAAAAAGAAAAAAAAAATGAAGTTACAAATTTTTTTGCTGCATTTGCCGGTGTGTATATTTCTTGCAAAATTTCTAAGTATGCAGGATATCAAAGGAAAATAGTTAGTTGGATACATTACTCTAGAACAAATATCATTTATTAACTTTTAAAAACTTCCCATAATTTCTTCCTAACCATTCATACACGATAAGGCGACTTCTTTACTTCATTTTCTTGCATTTCACTTTTCTTCTATGCAAACGGTTGTTATCCAAAATCAACCAGCTGCGATATGGCCTCTCCATCGCAAGTAGTTTATCTGTTTCTGCATGACATTTACTCCAGTTTTATTTGTTTGGATGATTGGAACAAAAAGTATACTTGAATCTTTGAAAACAGAGGAGCATATTTTGTTTTCAAGATTATTCATTCATTCAATCATTCATTCAAGAAGATTATCCGATCCAAGAGTTTAAAAACATGGATTGCGACTTGGGAGTGTCCACGAAGATAATGGAGGTTGGTTGGAGGATTATGATGGATGATGCATCATGGATCCCAGCCACAAGTCCTGAGCTTAGCCATCCATTCTACTCCCACCATTCACACACAGACGAACCAATCAACTTTCTCATTCGACAGGGTTGGACCCCACCTCACATGGTCGGCTCCTCTACGTTGCCCCGTGATCCAAATCCAACGCTCCGTAATTGGAACGCATCTTGGCGGCGGATCCGTCGGGCCACGGCCTTGAATGCTGGCGGTTGGGGTTGTCCCTCCAGTGTTCCCCGGTTTGCCCGCACAAGACCCAGAGCTGCCCATCGGTTGACCGCAACGGATCTTCTGTCCCACATCCTGTGCCACTCTCTGTCCCACTTTTTATTATATTGCTATTTTTCCTACATAAACATCACGTTTAAGTTCTTTTTTGTTTCCTTAATATCCAATAACTATTAATTAAATAAAAAATAAATACAGTAGTTTCAAAAAAGTAATATATAATAGAAAATTAAAAAATATAGCAGAAAATTCATAAAAAATCTCATTTTTTATGCATTTTGGTTTTTTGAGTTTGTTAAATTTTGTGTATTACTTAATTAATAGTTATTGGATCTTAAGGAAACAAAAAAGAACTTAAACGTGATGTTTATGTAGGAGAAATAGCAATATAATAAAAAGTGGGACAGAGAATGGCACAAGGCATGAGACAGAAGATCCGTTGCGTCATTCGACGGACAATCAGAGCTGTTACTCTTTAGATACAGACACAGACATAAGAGCCGGGACAGATAGGTCCCACAAATACTACGATTTCATATTTGAAAGCGCCTCAAGAACTCAACGCATCTCCCGAAACTTTAGCACCGTACGTGATTGGTTTAATGGAGGAAGGCGTGTTAACTGTCAAGTTAAGAAACGAAAGCGTGTGGGGGTGTTGTCAGTTTCTTCTAGTAATCTTATTATGTCCAGAAATTCATGCACAGACTGAATAAGTCACCTAGATAATTCATGTCTCGTCGGTCTTACCCCACTCTCAAAGGCTCAACTTATAGGAGTAGTGCTTATAAAACTTGGGACTTGTTCTCCATTCATTTCTCAGTTCTCACAACTCGCAGCTTGCAGCTTTTCAATAATTGGAGGAGCAACCTAGACTCGATAGAAGAACCTCTTTGTATCTTGAGATACTCATCCGTCGAGGAGGAAAAGCTTGGTTGTTGTTTGGCTAGGATTTTTTTTTTTTTTGGATTTGTGCAACACATATTATATTACGACGATAATTTCTGAGAAAGTGGAGATGGGAAAGGCTGCGAATTACGAGAACGAACTGGCAACCGAGTTGAGATTAGGTTTGCTGGGGACAGACCATCATGAACCGGAGAAGCAATCTTTCCCTTTGAGCCTCGTCATCAAGAGCAACAAGAGATCTTCATCAGAAATGGATTATAATTCCTCTGACAAGTGTGAACAAGATTCTGCTCCGCCTCCCAAGTAAGCAGAATACATGTTACAATTAATATCTCATCATGCATGTATTACAGCCTACTGGGCGGCGCGTTTGTCTTTTGTCTGCATGTGTTTTAGTGGATGGTAATTGTAGTGGGGCAAATTTTCCAGTAGCCACGTGTCAGTTCGGACATGATGACCTGTCAGTTCGGCCAACCAATCCACGTATGACGCGTGTCAGATGGCTCTGTCACACGCGAGGTCGGCAATAGAGATCGCACAGCTCGGACACCTCAGCTCGGTATAGAGGGAGGTCAGTTCGGCCACGACTGCCGCCTCTTTATGAAGTGGACCAAATGGGCCGCCGCCCCCGAACCTTTAGGGGCAATAGTATGAAACCCTAGAAAGACTCCGAACCCTAAGGGGACTCCGACTCCCATATGGAAACTACTACCCGTTAAGCCTATAAATATAGCACTACGCAACAACTCAAGGTATGCCATCTACAGTACCCTCCATACTATTGCCTTATTCTTAAGCTCTACTGACTTGACCGTCGGAGCTATTTCGGGGACTCTAGTCCCGCCGTTATTCTTTCTCCGCAGGATAGTTTGTTTGGTTTTTCCCTCTCAGCTCGGCTGCACTCAGCCAGCTCTGTTCGTAGCAGCTCAGCTCGGGTTGCGTCCTTGGCAGCTCACCAGCCCAACTCGCCAGCTCGCTTCCTCTCAGCTCTCTCAGTCCAGCTCAGATCTTGTTTTTGACAGTCGCATCAATTGGCGCCGTCTGTGGGAAACACGTAAATTCTTCTTTCGCGAATCATGTCAAGAACTAGATCTCAGAGGAACGCTGATGAATCCAAGGAGAACGAGCGAAGCGGCCTTCAGAACTCCCCTCGGGGTCCGACTCCTGGAGACGAGGGGGCGGGGCTCTCACGAATCCCGCCTGAGCAACTAGTTCAAACGGTGGCAGAAAACCTACCTACTTTCGAGGCTATCATGAACTACCTCAAGGGGCAGACAGGAGGTCATCGTGACCAGGAACCTAAGGTCCCAGGGGTGGAAGGAGTTGGGCTGTCAGAATCCCGAGCAGGGAGTCCTAATCCTCAACTCAAGCGGATGCGTAAGGAGCTTACGCGTGAACAGATCGAGGTCGTGGAGTCCTCCCACAAGCACTCCCGAACTAAGCACCCGGAGCCCTTTCGGAAGTTTTCAAGGGAAGAGCTCTCCTCGTGGAGAGAGCAGCTCCAGGGGCAGGACGAGTTGGACCTGCTGTTGGACCCTGAGGCGGACAGGTACATTGCTTCCCCCTTCGTCCCTGACATTGAGAACTACCCGCTGCCTGCAAAGTTCAAAATACCGACCATGAAATCCTACGACGCGACTACGGATCCGGAGGATCATCTGTTCGCATTCTTGACACAAATGCGCCTACAAACGGCCGTCGATGCAGTCAGATGTAAGACTTTTCCAATATTTCTGGAGGAAAAGGCACGCCAGTGGTTCCAAGGACTACCCCCCAGGTCAGTTCGGTCCTTCAGCCAGCTTGCACGACTGTTCTCAGCTCAATTCATTTCGTCACGAGCCTTTTCCAAGAGTACTGCTCACCTGGTGACAGTTTAGCAAAGACCCGAGAAATCGCTGCGTGAGTACATGGTCCGATTCAATAACGAATCCCTCCAGGTCCGGGATCGGGACGATAAGGTCGTCATGGCCGCTTTCATCAACGGACTACGCAAACAGAAACTATATACCGAGTTCGTGGAGAAACCTTCTAAGTCAGTTCGGGAGATGTTAGACCGAGTTCACGAGAAGGCTAATGCAGTGGAAGCTAATCGCTTGAAGGGTGAAGAGGAGAAACTACGAGGCCAGAGGCGCAGCTGAGACCGAGAAGCTGCCGAGGTCGTACAGGCCGCGAGAGCCGCCGAGGCCGAGCTGACCGGAGACGCAGCTGAGGTCGAGCTGGTCGGAGAAACTGCTGAGGTCGTACAGGCTGCCAGAGCTGCCGAGGCCGAGCTGACCGGAGACGCAGCTGAGACCGAGCAGGTCGGAGAAGCTGCCGAGGTCGTACAGGCCGCGAGAGCCACCGAGGCCGAGCTGATCGAAGACGCAACTGAGGCCAAGCAGGCCGGAGAAACTGCTGAGGTCGTACAGGCCGCCAGAGCTGCCGAGGCCGAGCTGACCGGAGACGCAGATGAGGCCGAGCAGGTCGGAGAAGCTGCCAAGGTCGTACAGGCCGCGAGAGCCGCCGAGACCGAGCTGACCGGAGACGCAGCTGAGAGCTTCTTCGGCCAAACAGGTCGAAGAGGCTATACAGGCCGAAGAAACCAAGGAGGTTGCTGGACAGGCCATCCCAACCTAGACATCTTATATTGATAGAATATCAAGCAAGGGTGTGGAGTCGGACCCCTCCTAATCAGCCTTACAGGGGACGAATTGACTTACACCTTGAGGTTCGACTTTAGGGCCTCCAATAACGAGTCCAAGTATGAGGTACTTTCATTAAAACTCACTCACTCTATCGATACATGACCTGAGTTGTTTGGTCCCGCATGGTCCTATCTTTTCGTGCAAATATATGAACTATTTAGAAGTCAGTTCGCGCGCTAGCCCGAGGTCAGTTCGCGCAAGTGTATTTAGACAGCATGATAAGAAAGACATGAATGAAAAATTTTGATAAGTATAGAAGAAACAAAAGTCTATTCAATCCATAAGAGTCTATTTACAAAGGAGGAGTTCATACAAAAAACGAGCTGGTCCTACTCAGTTCGATTTTACAAGTTACTCGAGCAAGGGCCGTCATCGTAGAATCATGGGTCCTGCACCAAACTGACTCTTCGCCAAGAAACTTGGTCCAGACTCATGCGACTTTTTCGATGACTCTAGACTCAAAGGGGGGCTAGTGTAGTGGGGCAAATTTTCCAGTAGTCACGTGTCAGTTCGGACATGATGACCTGTCAGTTCGGCCAACCAATCCACGTATGACGCGTGTCGGATGGCTCTGTCACACGCGAGGTCGGCAATAGAGATCGCACAGCTCGGACACCTCAGCTCGGTATAGAGGGAGGTCAGTTCGGCCACGACTGCCGCCTCTTTATGAAGTGGGCCAAATGGGCCGCCGCCCCCGAACCTTTAGGGGCAATAGTATGAAACCCTAGAAAGATTCCGAACCCTAAGGGGACTTCGACTCCCATATGAAAACTACTACCCGTTAAGCCTATAAATATAGCACTACGCAACAACTCAAGATATGCCATCTACAGTACCCTCCATACTATTGCCTTATTCTTAAGCTCTACTGACTTGGTCGTCGGAGCTATTCCGGGGACTCTAGTCCCGCCGTTGTTCTTTCTCCGCAGGATAGTTTGTTCGGTTTTTCCCTCTCAGCTCGGCTGCACTCAGCCAGCTCTGTTCGTAGCAGCTCAGCTCGGGTTGCGTCCTTGACAGCTCACCAGCCCAGCTCGCCAGATCACTTTCTCTCAGCTCGGCTGCACTCAGCCAGCTCTGTTCGTAGCAGCTCAGCTCGGATTGCGTCCTTGGCAACTCACCAGCCCAACTCGTCAGCTCGCTTCCTCTCAGCTCGCTCAGCCCGTCGCAGCCCAGCTCAGATCTTGTTTTTGGCAGTCGCATCAGTAATCAAACCTCTTTTTTTTTCCCCCAAGTACGTACTAATCGATGATGAAATGAATCTGATAATTCAGGGCACAAGTAGTTGGGTGGCCACCGGTTCGATCTTACTGGAGAAATGCTCTCCAGCAGCAAAAGAAAACCGAGAGTGATGTTTCGGGGATGTACGTGAAAGTGAGCATGGACGGAGCTCCATACCTCAGGAAAATCGACCTTAGGGTTTACAACAACTATCCCGAGCTGCTCAAGGCTCTAGAGGCCATGTTCAAGTGCACCATCGGTAAGCACACGCCCTGCCCTGCTCTCTTTAATTGATTTTAATTTTTGTTTTTTGTTTAAAAAAAAAAAAGAAGAAAGTATTGGTTGAGTGGTGGTGGTGTATTGCGGGAGATCAATTGTTAAATTGTTGGGGGAGGATTTATAATTATGGTGTTAAAGATCTTTTCAGGGAGCGTGGTTTGTAGTATGATCTGCATGCATGGCTCCTATATATGGTTAGTTTATATGTTCGTGCGTTTTTTTTTTTTTTTTTTTAATATTATCAGGTGTGTATTCAGAAAGGGAAGGATACAGCGGATCTGACAATGCACCCACTTATGAAGACAAGGATGGAGACTGGATGCTGGTTGGAGATGTTCCATGGAATATGTTCGTCACCTCTTGCAGAAGGCTCAGAATCATGAAAGAATCCGAAGCCAAGGGCCTTGGGTGTTTGTAGTTGCCGGCGGATAAATTAGAAGAAACAAAATTTATTACTACAGCCGGCCCGGTATATAGATATAGTATAGTAGTACTTGCAAATTAAACATGTGGGACTACTGCTACCACCACCAAAGAATTCTCCTCCAACCAGCGCCTTGGGTTCTCCAAGAAAAAGAAAGACTCCTCGCTCGCTTTCTAGCTTAGTCATGATCAGATCCGCTCATCAGATCAGGTGTACAGATTTCGATCTGATGGCTTTCCTTGTGACTTTGGATTCCTGATTTCTGTACTATCCCATAGCCTTCCAGGGTGCATGTCTTTATGGGCTGGATTTAGATTACAAGTGTTTCAAAATTAATTTCTCCGTACAAATGGATCAAGAGTTTAGCTCTTCTCGAATTCAGTCATTACGAATTATTCCGTCCACCGCGGCTACAGGCCTTGCGATGGTCTCCAACAATGGGCTTTCAAGGAGCCCAAGCACTTGTCTCGAAATAATACTGCTTTTCATGGTTGGTTCAAAAGCCCAAAAATCATCAGTACCACGTACTGATATTAATTAATTAATTAAAGCCAGTAAAGAAGAAGGGAGAGCCATGATGACATTCAAACCTAAAAAAGAGATCTCTCCATGCAGAAGGCTATACGAAATGCCGCACTAACACTAACGCAGTGCAACTAGAAGATACGCCCCCTCTTTCTTACTCAGATTACCTTTGTGTTTTCTTCCTGTTGTCTTGTCCCACCATTCTACTGGATTGTGAGTTCAACTGTGCTACGTCGTTATCCAGAGTTGAGGCCCAAATCGACAGACCAAACAAAAGCCCAACAATTTCCATTGGCCAGCCCATGTGGAATATAGGCCTCCTGGATGACGCGCGAACGCAGCAGCACTCGTTTTTTGGTCTGTCACTCTTCCTCTCCAAAGAAAGAACCTTGCCTGAGAAAACTAGCTAAGAACGTCTCTCTCTCTCTCTCTCTCACACACACACACGCAGAATCCCATCATCAAACCCCCACTGTCCCAGAGACTTCTTTCCCAGTTCCATCCATTCAGCGCAGAGGGAAAATGCTGGGCCGTCTCGCCGCTCAACGCTTCCGCGAGATCCGTCAAGTTTTCCGTCAAATCCCTCAGGTTCTCCACTCCCACTCTCCCATCTAGTTTCGCCTCCTTTCTTTTTCTTATTTTTCTTTATTATATATCTATTTTATTTCTGTTCATTTCGATTCTCTTTGGTGTTTCTCTCCTCCAGGCTCCTCGATTATTCTCCACTGCCTTAAATTATGTGAGTGCTTACTTTCATTTCTATTGACTTTTTCCCTGAAAAGAAAATTAGATTTCATTTCTTTAAATTTGGAGTCTTCTAATTTAGTAATTGACGTTGATTTGTGAAGCACCTGGACACTCCTGATAACAACCCGGACCTTCCCTGGGAATTCACGGAAGCTAACAAAGCCAAGGTTAGCTCTGCAATGCTTATTTCCTCGCATTGTTTATGATTTTTATTCCCACTCCTTTTTTATTAATTTGTTTAATACATTATAGAATCGATTCTTATCTGTACGCACGTCCTGTTAGAAGTCACTGGAGTGGTTGTTGTCATAAGCTGCGCTGATATAGTTCTCAATTGGATCAGTTACTTGCTGCACTTTGTAGGTTTCGTATCGCTTGAGTTTGGCATTTCTGCTCTCTAATTAAATCGGCAAATGCAGCAACACTGGGGTTAGATTATCATGGTTGATATCTCGTTAATAGGCACTCATTTAGTCACTTTAGTACTTGAGAAATCGGAGGACATGGTCTTGCCTTCACCAAGTATTGAATTACAAAGATTTTGATTAGCGTTATTTTCCAAATATGGTGGCATGCTTCTAGTATTCAACTACTGATGATACTATGTTTTGCCATCAACTCTATTAGCAATTAGGCTTGTCATGAAAATCAGGTTGGAAAAAGTCTTTCCCATGCGTAGCTTGCTGTCTTTCTTTTCCGGGATCTTTAAGAAATTACACATCCTCTTAACAAAATAGTTTCCAATATGCATAGGTGAAAGAGATATTATCCCATTACCCATCCAACTACAAGCAATCTGGAGTTATTCCTTTGCTGGATCTTGCACAACAACAACACGGCGGATGGCTCACTGTTTCAGCTATGAACGAAGTATGTTGCTGTTGGTTGATCTTCCATTGGTTTTACTAGTTGATAACTCTTCATTGTTGCTGTCATTAGAGAAGCATTACCAAGTGTGCTGAATTCTGCACTCATATGCATATGATGCATACAGAAAAATTTAACAATTTGTGTGGACACTAGGAACTTTGGAATGGAATTGCGTATTAGATGTACTTCCAGACAGCCGATTGATGAACTTTGGAGTCGGTTTTCATACTAAGTGCTTCTTAAATGTAGCTAATCGATGTTGATTTATTGTGTTGAATTGTTGGAGAGAATTATTCAAAAGGTGCAACAAGTTACCAAACTGGGGAAACCTTAATCTTTTTCTACATGTAAATTGTAATATTCCATAAAGACGCTCTATTATGTGCTCCCACCCCCCCCCTTCTTTTTCGTGTTGTGTTATGTTGAAAATAATAAAGAGTCATTCATGCAATGGCAATTGGACAGCTTTTATTTTTAAAATTTTTTTTCTTCTTTGAACAATCTTAAGCCTCTGTTTTGGGTTTTGTGCTCTACTGAGTGATAAAAAAATGGTTTTTTGAGCACTTATATTAACTCATGGATGGGATTGCTTGACCACTCAGCAATGACCAATATGCTGCTCATATTGCTTAATCTGTTTTGAGTGATAAAGGTGGCAAGAATTATTGAAGTTGCACCAATTCGAGTTTATGAAGTTGCAACCTTCTATTCAATGTTTAACCGTACAAAGGTGAGAGGTTACATGATGTCACCATAAGTTACTATGAGCCTGTGTTTCTTATGCTTCAGCTTGACCCAGTGAACTGCTATGTTACCCTATCAGGTCGGTAAATACCACCTTTTGGTTTGCGGTACAACACCTTGTATGTTGCGTGGTTCAAGAGATATTGAAGATGCATTATTAAAGCACCTAGGAGTAAAACGCAACGGTAACTTTGTTGGAATGTTCTTCATCGATTGTCTTGTACACTGAATGTTATTGAAGCTATATGTTCTGGTTTTCATTTGAAGTTGCTATTCATCATTTGCAGAGGTTACAAAAGATGGTTTGTTCTCTGTTGGAGAAATGGAATGCATGGTACATTTTCTTCTCTGTCCTGTTCTGATCAGAAGATTTGTCATTTTGTTTGCTATGAGATATGGTCTGCTTGACCAATTCTAGGCACTGGAGGGGATATGCATTAAAGAATGTGTCTCTACTTTTCTAAGATATATTTTGTGATGAGTGAGCTAAGCTTGAATCAAATAACTGTTTTACACAGATTGGAGTGCATTAGCAGAGAGAAAACATGCCTGCTATTCTCCTCTGGATTTTAAGTAGCATGCTCTTAGACTGAAAACATTGCATGATGCAGGTGGTGATATACTTGCATAATCACAATAGTAATGAACATGATGAGTGCCACCTTTCCATTTGGGTGTGATTATTCCATGTATTTGTTATCCTATTCTCCATCAGTGCATGGAGAAGAGTTAATTTTCTTACTGTTACCAGTGTGATTGAACAAATCCAGTATGGAACTTGATGCTATGTAGGTTTCATTTCCGTAGGGATGCTGTGTAAATGCTCCAATGATTACTGTGGCTGACTATTCCAATGGATCTGAAGGATACGCATATAACTATTATGTAAGTAGATATCATTCCTTTTATATATTATGGCTTTTACTAGAAAATCTGATTTCATTTGGACCCTTGTGTCTTCAATTTCTTGGTGTTATCGTGTGTGTGTGGGGGATAATTGCAGGAAGATGTTACTCCAAAACGAGTTGTTGAGATTGTTGAGGCATTGAGAAGGGGAGAAAAGCCACCGGTAAGGAAATAAATTTGCCAGCATATTATTTGCTTTGTTTTTACATCAATATATATTTTATCAAATCATGCCATTTGTACTTCAGCGCGGCACACAAAATCCAAAACGGATCAATTCAGGACCAGAAGGAGGGAATACTACGTTGTTAGGTGAGCCGAAGGCTCCACCATGCCGCGATCTTGATGCCTGCTAAATTACCACGAACTAATAATAACAAAAAAAATGCTTGTTGCGTTTTGTAGCATCCTTCAGTTATGCTGTCTCTGGCCTATTTGATTCAAAGATTTCCCTTGTTTACTTCCAATTTTCCTGCCAGTTGGGAATCTTGTGGATTTAATCCTTTCATGGTTACAAACCCTTTCTGCTTTTTTAATTATGTACCAGGTGCATAATATGGATGGCCTTTGTGTCCACATTACCTTAATACTTTCGATTGGTACACTTGAGGACTTAAAAAGTTATCACAAAATGTCTGGTTAATTGTAAATCTCTGTTTAGATGCACTTACGATTTCAAGGGTTTTTGCGTGCTCTTTGGGAGTAATTCCTTTGCTATTGATATTGAACTTATTTGGTTGATTGATGGACTTTTGTATGGATGGCACAAAGCAGCCATGGTCATAGTATTTTTTCCTAATTCTCTGTCAGGTGAGCTCATTTTCAGCCGAAAGCAAAGCCCTTAAAACGTTAAGACAGGGAAGCGGCATGCGTCAAGATGTATGAACTTCCCATACAATACGGGGAAGCTCTCATTCGAACCAGCGTTGCAAAAATATGTAACCATTAATAGCGTTTGGTGTCGAAGCATACAAGTTTTCTAGCGCTAAAAGGCTTGAGCAAGACAGTGTATGAGAATATAATAGCCCAAGTTTTGAAAGTGATTCTGCAAGCCACACGCGGTTATTTCATATGTCTTCTCCGCTGGCCGGTTCCAGTCCTTGCTTCACGTCTTACGATAAAGATATGTTGCTGGACGTCACACGAAACTTGACAGTGAAATTACAGGCTAGGCACAAGAGTATGGGAGCGTCACCTCCTATCACAAAACTGAATCTCGGTTTAACTATTTTCTGCCTGGGAAACGAGATTTTCACTCTGAGAGCTCTCGGGTATTTGCATCAAAGATGGAGTCATGTTAGTTGGCAAGGCTAGAATAGCATTTCGAATATTCTGCCACGTTTCATTACGACGAAAAGAGAAACCATACCATTGTGATTAATTGAAACGTTATCACTGTGGACAATTTGCCGAAACCCATCAGTTCATGTGTACCAAGTAGGTGACCCCGCGGGCTTGAAACGTCTTTTCCATTTTTGCTCAAGCTCTTTCCTACCATCCAACAATAATATTTTCTCAATAATGATTTAGCGAAATCAACAAGAAGTCAAAACCACTTTCATGAACCAACCCACCCACGCCACTAATAATTTTGGTTGGACTACAAATCCAGCTTTCTGGGACAAACGAGCATTATCCATTCTAACTCGAAATGCCATTTGTGCTGAAATCTAATTACATTAGTACATAAATATATGTGCATCACGCCTTTGAAGGGTCCCAACATCCACCATCAAAATGAGAGTCCCCACTATAAATGTGCTTCCATCATCCACCACTACTTCCAGGTCACATCATTGATACAAAAAAGCACAGCATATCAAGAGAACTTTGACAATTTCTTCACTACATGAATCTAGCAAGACACTAGGGGTGCGTTCCTATTACTCTACAAATAACACCAGACCTTCTCCAGAATAAAGCTACAATAAGGCAAAAGGTGGGATCATGGCATCTGACATAGATTTCAATTAAAGGAAGCAAAAGTTGATTTTCATAAAGTCTGATCTTACGGACGGGGAATCAATTGGCCACAGCAAACTTTGTTTTTTGGGACTGGGATGTTATGACATTGATGAGGCCTACGGAGGAGGATTTGTTTCAGGCTTGATAAGGTTGGAGGCATCTGGTGGTTGCGTGTGGTATATAGCTGAAGCAAGAGATATAGGCATTATACAGAGTGCCTTGGATTGAAGAAACTGCATAGCTGCCCCAACATTTTCTTCCATGAGTTTTGCTACCTGACGTTCAGTACCATCATTTGACCACTTGTCCCAGGCCGGCTGGGGTCTTCCACCTTCGCCGCTCTCTTCCTTCGTAAAGCACATAAAACAGATAAATGTGTAGAATGGAACCAGAGGGCACAGCAGACCAAAGACAGTTGTTTTATTACCTCAACTGATGATATTGGAATATCCGTCACAAGTGGTGCCACTGCGCCAGCTCCCCCCAATCTACTCATGCTCAACACCTGTAAGGTCATCAACTTATAACTCCTTTTTCAAGTGCAGCTAGGCAGAAGATGCAGATGCTCTACAGATTTAGAGTCTTTCACAAAGATTGAATTTTTTAAGGCAGGGAAGGGAGGAGCTCCAATGGATGTCAAAATGGATTCTCGTAAACAACAACCTATATTGATTTCAGTGCTAACTCAGAGTGTGGCAGTATCTATCAAAAGGTATCATGCCAACCAGTAAAAAGACACAAGTTGCATGACATTCAGATCAATTTATAAATCTGCCAGTCACAGATCACAGTTTAACCAACAAGAGAAATAATGTATCTTAGAGCATAGCTGCTGTCATCCAAAAAGAATATCTATAATGTTACATGACCAAAAAATTGCATCCAATCTGTATGCAGAATAGTAATGAACAGGCTAAAATCAAGATTGAACTGTAGCACTCCTCCAACGGCCATAATTATATAGTGAAATAGGGCATAAAAGTCCACAAATAACTCATAAAATAATTAGATAGAAATAACTGTCATAAATTACACAAATTCGGACAGATTGCAAGACATTCCTTATCTGAAAAGGGTCATTAAACATGAAGCCCCAAAAGAAGTTTAAATTTTCTGAATGATCACCGAATAAAACAGACATCATCTCAGAAGAATTACCTTCACCTGAAGTCTCAGGAACTTCACATAATCTACAATTTCATCAAGCATTGCGGCCCTGTCAGTCTATAAAAATAAATCAAAATAAAACTATTAACAAGGCTGCAAGAGAAATTCTTCTTTTTTTCCTTCTAAATCTCAGTACCTTGGACAACCAAGAAATATTTCTGAACTATGTTGGAGCTCAAGTGTTGCTATTTTAAGATCCAATATCAAAACAAGGCTTAAAAGTCTGGGAATCCCACAAATGGGAGGTGTAAAAGCTCTATAAAGCTATTACAGCAACAGATTGTTGGACAGGCAACTTGGCAAAGCTAAATTAGATCAAGTATTTTTGCTCTATGTGCGTCCCTAAATACTTAGTATAAGATTGCCGATTTCTGAAATTTTCATTTCCTGGAAGACATAAGAAAGTCCTTTCAAAAGATCAATTAAATCTACGCAAGCTGAAGCTTACAGGAATAAGAAAAACGAAATACTTCTTCCTAAAATAAATGACATCCAAAGAAAACAGTCATAGATTATCATTCCTACGCCTTCAAACTAAGGTAAGTTATTTGGTGCTTCTACGAAAAACCAAGTGCACAATGTCCCACCATGGCCAGGATGTAGGAGGGGTAAGGAGTACGTGATTTAACCCGTACACACTTTTTATACTAAAAAAAAAACCTTTCAGAAAGAGGTTTGAATGGGGTTTAGGCAGATAATAGCGTTTGGTTTTTATCTACTTGACTTGCTTTTTAATCAAAATAAAATTCTGTAAGCTGCATGGATCTGTTTCTCTACCACTCTATTGCTTAGAGTCCCTAGGTTCCCTCAGAATCAAAAGCATCACTGAGATGTTGCAACAAAGTATACTCACCTTATTGACACTGGGAACCAATTCTTGCAAAGCTCTAATTCTTTCTGCTATTCTTTCTCTGCGTAGCTGTGCCAAGCCAAGAAAAGAAGATGGCCTGATGATATTAACAAATGAAGAAATGCAAAAAAGGGCTTTGAATGTTTGCCCCAGAATGGTGTAGGAAATAGTAAAACAAAAAGACATCACCACTCAAACATATTGCAAACTTCTTCAGCAATTACAGCTAAAATATGATAAAAATTACTCAAATTTGTCCATCAATACTATTGACATAATCTTCTTCCCCATAGCAAAGAGGAAGTATTCATTTTGATGGATAGATGCAAAAGCTCACATCTAACCAATCACAAATCTACAAATAACGATTCTTGAATTAGACTTCAATTAGACATTCAGGAGGCATACCCTCTCAGCTATACTGTGAGGATCTGTAGCCTGACCTCGCCTTGCCCGCACCCTTGGTCGAATTGCAGGTGGATGTGGAACTACAGGAACTGTCGTTGGCAATGGCTGTCCATGGAAACCCTGGAAGAAAGAGTACTATAATTGTCACAAATGATGATGCCAAATTGCATCACCTTCAAAAGTTTCATGATTCATGAAGTCATACTTAACTCAAAAACTAATACAAGATAGATCAAAACCAAGAAGCAGAGATCTGCAGTGCCTAGAAATTTTGATCATAGAAATTTTAAACATCTTCCCTTAAAAAAAATGATTGAGCTTTTTGTTATTCAATTTAAGAAGGTAAAAATCTGCCTATTTCGCAACAAAAAAGGCCACAAGTATACGTGCAAAAAAGTATACTGGATTTTGCTTTACAAAAATCACTGGAAAGGCAGAAATCAGTATGTGAAGTACAAAAATGAAAAAGAAAATTTAAAGCATGCCTGGAGATAATCAAAACTTCATTCCGGCATCGGAACTACACCTTTTTTACATTAAAATTATCAGCCCAAAACAAACATTGCCAGGAATAACACTTTTGGAATTGTGTCGTCCCACTGAAACCAAACACTAAGCTCTCGCCATTAAACCTCTGGCGCACGAATTTGTTGGTAAACGAAATCAACGAGACAGGGTAGAACTCTAACAACTTTTGGCTACCAGTAGGCTTCTAAAAGTTATGTGCATGAGCGTCTAAAACACTCAATATCCATAATTGCTTGTAATATTCATAACTACTCCTTTTTTTTCACTTCACCAAGCAAGGAACAAAGTTAGAACATCTCTCAAAGAGAGAACTTACAGGTCTGACGGAAGAAGCAGCAGGTCTGCCATCAACGACGTCGTCTCGGAACCTCTTCCCGCTCCCGGAGGCTTCTTCCATCTTCACAAACCCTCCCGCCTTGCCTTGCTCCAAACTCAGCCCTAAAGGAAAATTACCCCCGTGAAAGGTACCACCAGTGCCAACACCGAGTCCAACTCCAACGCCGAGGCCGACACTGGCGAGGTGAGAGGAGGCGTCGCCGGAGCTGAGCTGGAGCATCATGGGAGGCGGCAAGGCATGGGCGTCATTCCCGGGAGCCAAGTTGGGGTCGGTTGGGGCTGCAGCTCCGGCATAGGCAGGAAACCCTAGGATTTGCTCAAGGAAGTCGTCGGAGGGGCCGTCAGTGGGATTATTAGCCATAAAAGTGAAGGGGAGAGCAACAAGTGAACAAGGTGGAGTGAGAAGGATTCTCCGAGTTAGAGTTCTCCTCCAATTTCATGGACTGCTATATGTACATATATATACACACGAATTCCGGTATGTGTAAAGAGCGACAATGAGAGCGAGAATGAGAGAGCAGCTGATGGAATTCAACTTTCTACTGATTACTGTGGGGGAAGAAGCGAAATAAAGGGGGCCGGAATGGCTTGCTCTCTTTCTTCCTTTCTTTGAACCTTTTTTTTTTTTTTTTTAATGCTTACGAATGGTATATAACAAAAGGAGCCCTTTTTTATCAAATTTACATGCCTGTCCTTTTATTACCGCTACACTAGGAGACCAGGACCACTACCACTTTCCTTCCTCATGTTTTTCCTCGTGTATTTAGCCTTTCTAATCGATCCGCTGCTACATTTTACGAAAGATGCTGGGCAGGAGTACAATTTTTTTTTTTTTAGGGTAGCTGACCTGACGGTGTACCTTCTAGTTAGAGCATCCATCAGAGTTCTCGACACTTGTCACAAAAATGGAGATAAATCCAACAACCCAAATAAGGGTTGGGGCTCGAAGTGGATCCAGGTCCTTTTTTTGGACCAAAAAAAAAAAGGAGTACAATTTTTTAGCCTTTTTAATCGATCTGCTGCCGGTTCATGTTTGTTTGGATAAAGTATTATTTCAAACAAATGTTATAGCACATCCTGTGATGTGATATATATGAGATAAAAAGATGATTAAAAATATTAAAAAATAGATTAAAAAATATGTTTATAATACAATCAAAATATTATTTAAAAATACTTAATACCCAAGCCAGTGTTTCCAATTTCCAATGAGTATTTATTGTTAAGAAAGAGGTTTTCTCATATCAAATCAACGTTCAATGTTCCGAAAAACTTTCAATAGTTCCTCATAGTCAAGACAACTCCAAAGATAATTGGCTATCAAAAAAATTTGATCTGTATATTCAGATACTCCCACAAAATTCCGTTGCAATCACAGCTTTGGAGTCCGTTTGAATTGCAATTTTTTTGAAAATTTTGTAAAAAAAAAACATACTTTTAACGATTTGATGGATGTAAAATAAAATAGCAATAAAAAGATGTGTTCAGAAAAAACATAAATTTTTTTAAAAAAAAAATAGCAATCCAAAAAAGACCCAAAATTTTGTGATTACTGAGTAAGACAACCAAAATACAAGGCTGGAGCAATGGCTGGATTTGAGTCCATAGTTATTAAATTCGACTTAACTCGACAGTTGAATCGATCGGCCTAATGATCCAGGCATTAGATTAAGCCGAATCTCTATTTTGATTGGACAAATTCGGTTGACTCGATGATTCAATTGAAAATCTGTCCGACATTTCAAATGATCCGATTACCTTTTTTTTTTGTTTTATTGTGGGCCTTTATTTTTGAAACAAAATGTATATATACTTTTGATAAAATTTATACGTTGAATTTTCATTTAAATATATATAGACTTTACCACTTGTTTAGTTTTTATTTGATAACTAAAATTTTTTTTAATAAACTTCTTTATATTTTTATTATACAATTAATTCTTTTAACTTTTAAACTGACAATATTTGATTAGTTAGAAAATTAATTTATTTTTAAATAAAAATAAAAAATAATACTAAATTTTTTAAAAACAAGCGATATAAATTTTGTTTATAATTGACTATATTATTTATTTATTTAAAAGTACGATAACATTTAATTAATTAATATCTATATATTTATTATATATCTTTTTAAGTATAATAATTAGTCTCTAAAAAACTTTATTATATATTTTATGTATATTAAAATTACTATTTTTTATTTATATAAATGTTAAATTAATACTCACAAATTCAACCAATGATCCGCTAATTGGTTGAACCAGTAACCTAGTGATCCAATTCCTTTGCCGGACTGGGTTTAATAACTATGTTTGAGTCCATTGGATTCCATTTCCCAAGTCCAAATCCCCCCAATCCCAAACGCAAGTTCCTCTTCAACCTTGTTTGGCTGCCTGTATTCTACTATATGCTATATATTCACCATCCTCTTTCTTCTTCCACGAGTTAAAATTTATTTATTGCACAAAAGACATATTAGAACATAAAATAAATGGCGATAGTCGAACCAATTTCCACAATGTCAAAGGCAATTAAAATCGCTTTCAACACTCTCAGCAATCGACCAATGGGCCACGACAATATCCACTACCAAATGCAAAGCTCACTACAAAACAAGTTGAAACCCCAAGTGACAATTGCAGACAAACATGAATTCACATTCAAAAGTCCAAATGGACGAGACATGGACACAGCCGTATGGGTTTCGATGTTCAGTACTATTTGGAGTGCCTTACCTTCTATCTCTCTCTCTCTCTCTCTCTCTATATATATATATATATATATATATATATATTTGGGGTTTTAGGTGGGGGGAGCGGGGAGAGGTACTAAGTACACACCACACTCGTACGTACACTTGAAAAAAAGAAAACCAGCCCAGAAAACAGCATGCTTGGAGCTTAAAATATCAGCAGGTTATAGGTTGATATGCAAAGTTAATATCAAGTCTTCTGCTTGAGTCGCATTGTGTCAGATCAAACAAATTACGCCAAGAGGAGTCAAGCGGATAAGATAATACAGTAATATGAACAGAAAAAGAAACGGGGAATAGAGATGACATCAAATAAAATCACATATTAACGTCAAATGAAAAACATGCAAACAGAATACAGTATGTGAAACCATACTAAAATTTTCCAGTTGTTAGGAAGAAGATAATTTGTAGCCAAAAAGGTAAAAGTAGAAAAAGAAGAAAGATTAAAAAAAAAAAAGGCTTGAAATGGAAAACTAGCTAGTTTGGGAGTTTAGAATAGAAAAGAAGAGAAGAGAAAGGGTAAGTTAGAAAAGAAAAGAAAGGATGGAAAATGATCTAAGTTTCTACTGGGAGTTTTTTGTATTTGAATTTTCATTTTCAGAGTAATTTTGTCATATTCAAAAAATTACCTGAGACTTCCACACTTTCCTTCGCTTTCTTGGCAAAAAATTTTCCTTTACATGAAGGGAAATGAAATCTTTCTAATAAATCTTTTCTTTTCCTTCACATTTTTTGCTCCAAAACAATGAAAAAACTTTTATTATCCTTTCAGAACCTTTCTTTTCTTTTCTTTTCCTTCCACCCAAACTAGCTTGATCTGACTGCATGCTTCTTTTTTCCAGGTAATTAACCTAAAAACCCAAAAGTTCGTAACAAATCAACAGGTTTTGTTCTCATTTACAAGAAACGCAGAAAGAACAACAGTATGAAAAATATCTGTGAAACGCCTACAAGCGAGAAACAAAAATTAATCAGGCCTCAAAAACAATCCATACTACAATCAACCGTCCGCTGTAAACCCATCAAACAAACTACCAACAAAATCAAACGTCGACTCGCATCAAATTTGCACCAGGATGGAAACAAGAAAATCAAGATTTTAGTTCATAAGTACAACATTGCATCAGAGAGCATTCAACCCACAATCAAGTGCAACTGAGAGCGGTAATTTCATTTCAGAAAACGATACTGCAAAACTTATGTCCATCGGGTTAGGTCCGTACAAAACAGCGCCTTTTAGTGTTTCTGTTTAATTAAGAAAAGCGAGCGCAACAGAAGCTTGAGGACACAAATCTCACCAGCAAAAGTTGCCCTGCCGATTTGGGGCTTCACCAAAAGGATGATCTCTTGGCTCCAAAAGTGAGACCCGTGGTGAATTTAAAAAATGGTGAGAATCCTGATGAAGACGTTAAATAATCGGGTTCGGAAGACGGTACTGGCTTGCGGTTCTCTCTTATTTTCTGGGGAGACGAGAAAATAGCGAAGTGGTAGGATTGTCCTTCGATGTTTATTGGCCATTTATACTAGTGAAAATAAAAAATTGTAAACTAATTATGACATTTGAATCCTTATGCTATAGGATAATGAATGGGCTGTGGTGAAAAAATTGGGTTGTGTTATGTGCCTAAAGAAAAACAGTCTGTTTATGCACAAATTTGAAAACTAAAAATCAAGTGAGAACCTTTATTTCAACTCGTGAAAGAAGCTTCCATCTTAGTGTCATTTTTAATACAACTTCGAGCATCCGGTAGCCAAGTTAGGAAAAAAAAAATTTCAATGGCCGCACAAATTCATTAGATTTATTTTAATTTTATTGCAAGTAACAATATAGTAATTGACTGGAGACGTGTAAATGAGAGGAAACAATAATAATAATAATTAAAAGCAAAGGTAACATCAATAATGTTCACATAATAATGATAAAAATTGGCAACATAGGTAATCAGTAAATAAATCAATAAAATGCAAAAGACCACATAATGCTCTACGACCCATTAATTACTATTTTTATAATAATTATTGTTATTTGTGTATAAAAAACTTACAAGTACATTAAACTACCTAAAGTATTCAATTTGTGCTTGTAGTTATAATTTTTTTTAATTAAAAATTGTTATTGCATTACTCATTGGTGCATATAATTTATTTTGGTCACATACTAATAAATTTGTAAGATAAAATAAATTTTTAAAAAATTGCATGCCCAAAAATAAAGAATGTGTTTGAATTGCATTTTTCATAATTTTTCATAAAAAAAATTACTGTAGCGATTTGATATATGTGAAAAAAAAATAATAAAAAAATATAATTACGAAAAGGACGTAATTTTTCGACGGAAAACAGCAATCCAAACAAGGCCAAAAGTTTTCTGTGCTCAATGGGGCACGTGCCTTCAATGACTAATAATAACAATATATGAATCTCTCTGCCATTTGGAAACTCAACGACTACAAATTCACTTAATACGAGTTCCACGAATTATAGCAAATTACCGATGAGCCAAAAGGGGCAATTTGTGTAATTAACCTCCTCCATCCTCCATTATTAGAGTTTTCACCCGTCTTGAGGTTTTTTTTTTTGGACCTGAGCCATATAGTTACCTACTGCAGAAGCGAGTTGACAGTTTGCCCAAATCAATGTGATGATGGCCGTCTGTCTGGTACCCCCATCACATATAGACCACGCCAAAAAAAAAAAAAGGCAGGTGCCAGCTCCGGAATCAAATAGACTACCAGGTGCCAGCTCGCTAGTGTCTACTTCATCAGTCTTATCAACGGACTCCATTGGACTGTCATCAACTTCATGTCTAGCAAAGTATACGTCAGTTAAGAAGAACCACGTTAAAAATAAAAAATGCGCAGCCATAATTTCAAAATCAATTTTCCCAAGAAAGCTAATATCTCAGATTTGATAATATATTTCTCCAAACACGGCATAGAAATTGTATGTGGCACTGGAAAAAAAAAAATTAAAAACCAAGAGAGCAACGCAAAGCCCTATTCTCCTACAGGAAGGTTGGTGACCCTAACCTTAAAAACAGTTCAAAAATCAAAACAAAATACCTTGAGCAAACATCATATTTGTAAATTGTGACAATGTTAACATGAAGAACTGAATACAACCCATACTAAAATAGTAACTAACTAATAGAGGAGTGTCAGAGCAATGTCTTCATTTTTCTCGCGTAAACATGGAAAGATTCTAGACAATTCTATGATGTATAAGAACAATTCAATGTCGCTCATGATAACAGATAAATATGGCTTAACATGCGAATGAAGGAACCAATTTAGTGGTGCTCATATTCTCCTTAAGAATCTGTAAATATGCTATTGTTGAATCTTGCTACCAGATTGGACACCACCTAGAAACTTGTTCATTACATGGTTTTCCAACCTGCAAGTTTGATAAATAAGTTAAAGCATGCCCCAAGTGTACCATTCCTGAAAATTAAGGGGAGTGGAGTGCCATGCCTGGTTGCACATTTATAGTAGATCGTCTCAGGAGAGTTGTACGTGCGTGCATTTACAAACATCCTCCTGATATCCGCAACAAACATATCAAGAGTCACGTAATACAGCTCTGATTCTACCCGTTTTGCCATGGCCTTCAAATCTGCAAAGACAGCAATGTACACTGAAGACTCACAACACTCAGAAATATAATTCTCCAAAGACGGTACAGCAGTTGTAACAATACTTGATGAAATTGCTCTTGTCAACAACTACAGGCAAGTGCAACAAAATGTACAGGGTTTATTAATTAAATACAAGGCTTTCTACTTTATGATATGCCAGGACAAAGAGAAGCAAGGGAAAAGACGGAATGAGATGAAAAAAGATGTCGACCTTCCTGATTCTATATGAACAGAATGACTGCCAGCCACACTATTAACATGGAAATAGGCCATGGAAAAAGATAGTAGCTACCTCAAATTAGTCCACATCTGAGAAAGGATAAAGCACAGTCACAAGCTTTTTAGTAAAATTTCAGATTTAAATTGAGTCATGAAATATGATGCTTTCCACTATATCCATCTAGCATTAGAGCTGTACAGCTATCAGAGAATCCTAGGTGAATTCACCAGTGATCAAGCAAATATACATGTAACTGAAGAAGCAGGTCAATTTGTATTTTAGAAGGAGACAAGAATCAAAAAACTGAGAGTAAGTATGGAAGAAAATATGTCAAAAGAGGAAGATACTTAATGCGAAAACAGTTACCTATTTGATCTTTAATGATGTCATAATAGTCAGGTACATCTCTTGCATCAACAGCTTCCTTAAACGGCCAAGAATCAGGATGGTCATACATCGCCTGCTAAAAAGAAGTAACTAAATTGCATACAATATGAAGGAAGGCACTTGAAAAGCGTAATCTGCAATATTCTCTTTTCTAAGTATGATTGCCCTTGTTTAGGAGTTATATTTTCATTTCATTCTGGGAGGGTCAGTGGAGAGGGAAAAGATGTTGAACTATTTCCAACCATGTTTCTGGCATGACGATAGTCATACCATCCATTGTGAAAAGAGAAAATGGTAACAAAGCCACAAGTCTCTTCTCGTCAAATGTTATACCTTCCTGAGAAGGGGAGAAGAGGAAACTCTCCCATCCATTCCCCATTCCACAAAAGAGAAGGCACAGCTGATCTTAAATGATATCACAACAGATTTCACAATGAAGACAAAATGGAATCTTGGAGCATCCTATACTTTTCAAGAACCAATGGCAATTAAATAATGACTGCTCTAATCCGCTAATTTGATGTGAAAGTTCATGAAGTCACTCGTACATTTCATTGAAATGCATAAATGCCAATTATTTAAGATATTTGATCATTAACACTAAGAAAATACAAAGGATTCTCTCATTATGTTTCAATACACTTCGCAGGATCCTCCTATACAAGTTGACTTCACAAGAAAGGAGCTATAACAGCATTAAAAATTTAAAATAGTTAAAGATTTTGAGCAACCAACACTTAAAAAAACCAGTAAAGAATCTTAAGAGAATGACCTTTACAAGTGACCGCAAAAATGTAGTCATGGCCTTCTGATGTGAGACTCCATCTGTTAAGGAGCTAACCATCTTATACTGAGAATGGCCATACTGATCAGGAGTCCAACCTGCCTCTCCTATCACCACCAACAAGTTCAAAGTAAGGATTCTGAAAGGAGTACAGAAAACCATGCAGTAGCATTGTTAAAAAAAATCTTGACAACAGAACAAAAATGGATAGAGAAGTAAACTAGCAACCTGGTCAGAAGAAAGGACAGCGCGGCAATTTCAGTATGCAGATAACATATGATGCATGCTTGAAATTGGGAAGTAACATCAATGCTGAGTGGGAGACGCACACAATAAGTTGGGGAGAACTTTATTTTACTAATTTCTAAAGCAAATGATGTTATATCAGAAACTGCTCAATTTTGCGCTTCATCAAAATCTTTTAACAAAATAGGAGATGCCAGTTAAAATGGACTTTTTATCAACAAATGTCACATCAATTTGACAAACAACCATGAACTATTTAGTAAATAGATCATCAGACAATTACTTGGAGATAAAATATACAATCACTGAAACATTCAGGTTTCCTACTTTAAAGAAAGGATGTTGATGGCCAAGGACCAAAATAATAAAGACAGGAAGAACTTACTCAAGCCAGGTATATCCTCAGCTTTGATAGCCTTCTTGGGGATACCAGCTTCCTTCTGCATAAGTCAATTTAGTCATGAATTGTTCCAGAGGTCTGAAAACAAATAGAAAATCAAGTTTTGCATTGACAAAGACATCAGAGTGATCAATTTTCTGAATCTAATCCTTTTGTTCCATGCAACATATAATGGAACATTCCCATATGAAGACTTGGGACTGCAACCTTGACATTTTTTATGATGTACCAAGTTTGTCAGAGGACAACATATAGATGTATTACCAAAGACTGACAAATACTCCCATCTCTCTCTCTCTCTCTCTCTCTCTCTCTCACACACACACATTGTCCTATACTCTTTAAAGATTTTATATGCTAACACAGAAACTGTAACTTTTATATACTTTTAATTTTAATCAGTTTCCACTAGTTTCTATCTGACATCTAATGCTCAATCAATTAAACCATCTTATCAATCCCCAGCATCTCAAGTACACCACGTTTGTTGAAGTTGAGCTGAGTGGGATGACGGAAGCCCCCAAAAAAAATAAAAAATCATATCCATTACCCTAACAGAATAGCATATAAGATTATTTTCACAGAAAAGGATATGGTAGAAACTTAATCAGCAATAAAGGGGATAGCCCTATAATTTTCTCATACCATGCTTAACCCTACTTCAGTTAGCAAAATCGCTAATAGTTAATTAAGAATGGATAACCACCATATACATATTACAATCACCTAACAAGCACCAAAAAAATCTCAAGTCAAAATGATTACATATACCTTCTGAAAATCAATTGCTTTGTAGACAATATGACAATTAGATAGCTCCCTTATCTTTTCATCAATTGCCTAGCAACACAATAGCTTTTGTCAGTATAAATGAACCTTGAATCAGTTGCTATACTTATAACATTTTCCCCTGCCTTTTTTTCATTTGTGTGTGCGGGCAAGGGGAAGCTGGCAAGGCTGTGACTCGCATTAAAAGAACAAACTATTCCAGTAATTAGATGTACTCTCTGAATAATCTTTAACTGCTTGTACTCATGTTTCACTAGCTTTCAACCTCATCTACAGCATTGTCACACTATGTAAGTTCAGCTCATCTTACCTGTCTCTGCCGGCGTATCATAGTTGACAAATCAGTGTAAGGAAGCTTCGGATCAATTTTGCATTCCATAAGAATCCCTCCATCATAATCCTTAATATACCTGAAATGAGAGAAAACATTATAAATATTTCAAGCTACAGAAGATGGAACTTCTTAACAAATAAAAGCTCAAATGAAAACTAAAAAAAATAAAATTCTAGAAAGCTCAAGACATCACACTAGAATTATTTATTACTCAAAAAGATAAAAACTAAGCATTTAAATTATGTGAGCAATCGCTATGAAGATACCCATGCCACCACTCTTTCTCTAGGTAAATCTCCTTTGTGAAGCCCTGTTTGACGAAGTAACCGACAGCATTATTGTCAGCATAAGTTAGAAAGTGAGTTAGCCCGTCCACATCGCGTGCATGCTGCTTTAAGTGGTTCATCAGCCTGGTCCCATAGCCCTTAACTTGTTCATCTGCTGTGATTGCACAAAAGGCTATCTCCCCAAACTTCTGGCTATAGAATTTCAATGACAGTGCCAGTGAGAAGTCATCCACCACAACATTCCCAAATGTACAACCAATTATATGATGTTGGCAAAAATATATATGAGAATGCAACCATTTACAACCAATTATATGATGTTGGCAAAATTAGAAAATCGGGACAAGATAACAAAATAATTCTCGGGAAGATTCATGCAACCTAGAACTGACAGTGAAAAGGTGCAGCAGCTTTCAAATTTTGTCATGCACAATACATAGTGTGCAGTTAAAGAAATGACTCATGGATAGCCCAGACACGTCCATAAGCCACCTCTAGCTCGCCCTCCCCAACTCCCAGAGGAGGAGCACCCATTAAACCAGACAAACCATAATCAGATTAAACATTGCCAATAATTTGATGAACACTTTTGTGTGTGTGCATGACTGTGTGCGTACAAGACCCGATAACAGATCAATCAAAAAGCATTAAGGATATATCGACAACTGAAACTGTTTACATGGAAGCTTACCTCACATAAGGACGGTATGTTATGCCACCAACAACCTGATTACGTCTGATAACCATAACAGATTTGTGGTTTCTGCATATAACGACTAGAATATCAATAATTTGCACCTCAGCTCTTGGAAAGTATGATATGCTACGGTCTTTAAAAGATTAGGTGAAGTCACAATGCTAATTATTAGCACAATTTGTGAAGAAGCAGAGCTATGAATTTCAACTTTACATGCTGCATTGCATTGATCCCAATATGTAGTTAAGAATTCGGTCATCACCAAAAATTACATGCCATATATCAGGGATTAATAGAGTTGCAACATTAACTTTGCAAATAATATTACTGCCTACATGCAAAGCTGAACATCTTAGTTTGACATGGCAAGTGCAATTACATCAAACCAATAATTAATATTTTCAATTTAATTTATAAAATGAAATATACTGGCATAACAGTTGTCACCAGGAAATGAAGGACTCAAAAAAAAAAACTGACGTCAAGATGAGGTTATTCAGCTTCCTCTAGGAATACTGCAAATCAAAAGCCAGAAAATTTTCTGGATACACCAATCTATTTTGCCTTAACTACAATAACAACACCTTGATACCAATAAAAAAGCTGATAATAGAAATCTTAGAAATTACAGAATCAAGTGAATGACCAAAATAACCTTAAACCTTAAAACAAAGAAAACTAATCAACACAGTATTAGCCTGAAGTATGACTCTAACGAAGATACCAGAAATTTTTTCACAGGCGTGCATGGCAGTTGAGACAAATAAGGAGAGAGTCTTTAAATTTTTCCCCTGCTTCTCAACAATATATAGACTGCACTAATATTCTAAGGTATATTGCATGCACAAAGAAGTGTATGCTCAACACAAAACCATGCCGAAACATTGAGAGCAGAGGCTAAAATGAAACATTTTAAGAAACTGAGGAGCCAGACCTGTCCATCACAAGACGAACAATATATTCCTTAGGCATGTTAGGCAGTTGCCTGGCAAATATATTCTTCAACCCTATCAACCTGCCATGAACAAAAAGAATGTACGACATTATACTTTAGATGACCAGTTTATAGATTAATTCATTCATATCTAAAGATGCAAAATTTACAGGACAAGACAGTGGAATTAACATCATTCCAGTGAAGAGAAATAGATACCAAACCATATGCTCATCAGTACCATCATTCGACACGCATACAAACTTCAGCATTCCTGATTCCTCCTACAAAATTTAAATCACCAACTTTATCAAGTCAGCATTTAAACCAAAATTATAACAAAACAGGCTACAACAGAAAACTTACTTCTCTCTTCAAACTCTCCTCTCTTGCACTATAAGCCCCACTTGTTTGTATATTATCTGTAAGAATATTCTTCGCCACCTCATCCTTCACCCCAGTACTAGGAGCAGAACCAACACCAGCAGAATTCGCAGCATTGAAAGAGGCGCCAGCGTTGCCACCATCTTTCGCCATCTCGGAGGGCTCAACTTTGACGGAGTTCTCACTCTTGAGCTTGGTATTCCTCGCTAGGGGTGGCACGCTGGTCTCTAGCCTCGAGGCCGTAAAATTCCTCATGGAGGAATTATCATACTCCTCCTCTTCATCGTCAACCACCTCCTCGGACTCGTCGTCGGAATCGGAGTCCGCGCCCCGTGCACTGATGCTTTCTAAGTCGTCGTTGGATGTCAGTGCTCCGTCGCGCGTATCGGAGAACGAGGAAGGGAATGGCGGTGCGTGATCGTCAGACGCCAGCTTGCGCTTGTGGATGGATGACGTAGCTGAGGCCGATGCAGAGTGTGACGGAGACGCCGACTGTGAGCTACGAGAACGGACCGGCGCTGTTAAGTGACTGTCCATTGCTTTTAATTGATGGTTCAGATAAGTTATCAATATTGATTTTGCTTGGATTTTATGAAAATCAGAAACTCAGATAAATGAATTGAAGTTCAGGATCGAGTTGGCAACAGACGAATTGCGTAATTTTGAAGCTCGTTACTGAAAAATAGGGGTTTTTTTTTCTCTTTATTGGATCGAGGTAGGGTTCCCGGGGTTGTTCCTGCCAGTGTCCAGTCAACTGTCCACCTGAGTACGGAAGCTGGCACTTCAGACCAGAGAAATGTCGCGCTGCAGCGGATACTGGATTCTGTGGCTAAATGCGAATATAACACCTATACGTCGTCGTAACGACGCGGCCTAACACATGCTTGACAATTCAAGAATGCTGGATCGCCCGTGGATAAGAAGCCCTATTCGTTAGACTTTAGGCTCCATTTGACAATATATAGGTATACTCAAACAGTAAATTTGCTTAATTTTAAACACCGCAACAAATATATAAATATGTGAATTTTAATATTGAATCTATTTATATTATTTGATAAACATCTATAATTGAGTGCTTAATAAACTAAATTGTAAGATTTTGGTGTTCTATTTTTTCATCCAAAAAAAAATAGAACTTATGATTTAATTAGTTTAAAATTATTAGATATGAAAATGATAATAATTATTTTTAAATCAAATTAATACAAAAGATGAAATATATTCTTATACTATATAAGAATGAGTTGTGATTAAAAGAAGGTTCGAATTTCAACTACATGGATGGAGGTTTTTTGGGAATGTGAAATGTTATATAGTTTTTTTAAAAAATTTTGGTACAACTGAGAACAGCATATGTTTAGGTATATTTATCGAAATGCTCTCATTTTGGTAAATTTAAAATTTTGATTTATGGAGATATCTAGTTATTTCTAGAATATAAAATTATTTTGCAACCATTTTTGTATTGAATACACATAAGCTTATGTGTTGGTTTAATTACTGAAATGATGTTAGAGACACATTTAATTGAAATGTTGATTTTGTTGTGCAATTAACACAAAAACATATTAACATATTGTGCAATTAACACGTTACTATAACTACCTGTTGAAGAATATTTTTTTGTTTGAAATAATTTATGTCTGCTCTTGAGCAATTTTCAACTAGCATCTATAAGGGTCTTTTGGAAATAGTAAATTTGTAAAAATATTAATAAAGTAAAATATATAAGTATATGCTATAATTAGAATATACTATTATTAGTTTTATCATATCTGATGACTTTTTTTTTTCAAAATGTACCATTATTTGTTCAATGAAAAATCTTCAATACCAAACACCAATGCGATACGATGCGCGATAACACCCGTGCAATGCGTGAGCACTCCCCTCTAGTTATAAGAAATAAAATTGAGATTGGTGAATATGGTAGCAGCAGATAAAAAAGAATGAGAGGAAAAAAATGAAAATTATGAAAGAGTAGAAAGATGAAAAACAATAAAATTATGACAGAATAAAAAGATGTGAAGAGTATGAAGAAACTGTGAAAGTCATTAAATAAGGAGAAAAGAAATGTATAAAACCATTAGATAGAAAATATGAGATTATTTAATTAAATAAGAATTTTGAATATAATTAACAAACAATGATAGATTTTGTAAAAAAGATAAGATGATTGAAATAAATGTGTTGATTCTAATCAGAATTAAACATTCAGTTATGATTCTCATGCTGAAAAAATACACAAGTTCATCACCGCTTAATGATTTCAGCAGATGAATTTTTATTTTTCAAACATCTAAAATTTTTCAATGTCTGAAAAAGTTTGACTTCAACATTTTTTTATGTTGTATCAAACAATTCCTTAGACTAACAAAATTTTGGGAAAAAAAAAATCAAACGAAATGCAAGAGCAAATAAAACATTTAGTTCCCCACTTTTTGGGCCGTGGATAACTTGATGACTCTTGTCCTACTCTCAGTCTATAACAATAGTGTATTTTTCCCCAACCATCTCTATATTTTTACTCTTTTTTCCCTTTTATCTTGATTTAAATAGTCACCCCTCCACTTTTTTCAAATTGAAAGTGAGTTATGAATTTAACAAGCATTTCCAATATAGCCATATAAGAAAGGTTTATTTGACATTACCCAAAAAAATTACATAAACTGAAGTAATATTCAGACTAAAATATATTTTTTTTTATTATTGTGATAGACCTCAAGAAAAAAATATTGGAATTTGTTGGACAATACATATACTACAGTTATGGCAATCTTTGTATAGGATGTATTCTTTCGTAATCACGAAAATTTAATAATTCTTATTTTGATAATTGCAAACTAATATATCTAAATCATTGTAAGGGGGAAAAACGTTTTCAAAAATAGTTCTGAAGCCTGCAAGTAGAATCCTCAATTTATTAGACAGGTAACTTCATGGTATTGGTACCTCAATTGGTTAGATGGGTAGAATCCTCAATTGGTACCTCAATTCATGGTATTAGACGGGTAGAATCCTCAATTGATTGAAACATTAAACTCGAAGAAGGTGGAGAAAAAGAACTATATGGTGGATAAAAGAGGAAATAACTGCAAGGGACCATACACAGAGTTGAGGAAATACGCAGCAATGGTAATTTATCTTGACCATGTGAATATGCAATTGACGTTTCCTAAATGTTTGGACTTTGAACAGATTCATTAGACTCCTACTCCTACAACAACTTCGTGTAGGAGTCTAATGAATACAAACCATTTCCATAGTTACATCGTGTATAAAATGGTGTTCTGCTAACTTTATAGTATATAAAATCTAAAGCAATTGGTTGAGATTTTTTTTTTTTGGTGAAAATGGCGTAATATATAGAAAGCAATCAAAAGTTCCCCTAGCTATTACAGCAAAGTCCTAATGCTACGGGTATAACAGATGCCCCTGGTGTCCTCATCAAAAGCAAAAAGGAGTTTTCGAGAACATGATTCAAAAATTACAAAGTTCTGATCCAGCTTGCTGCCCAATTTTGCTAAGACATCTGCACATGTATTGGCCTCATGGTAAACATGCCTGAGTTTAACATGCTGGAGCTGCGAAAGCAGGCATCTGCAGTCCATGATAATTGAATGGAAAAGATGATCAGGATTCACAGAAGAGTTTAGGAGAGAAATTATATCAGCACAATCAACTTCAACTTCTAGGCAGGGAATTTTTAGCGCAAAAGCAAGTTGGAGTCCATCTCTAACTCCCCATAGTTCAACTAGAATGTTAGACGCGATGCCTAACTTTCTACTATAACCCTTAATCCAACAGCCAGAGGAGTCACGAAATATCCCCCCAGCACCTGTTATACCGGGATTATTGAGGGTAGAGCCATCAGAGTTGAGTTTAATCAAGCCGCAAGGTAGAGGAATCCATCTTACCAGTACTTGGGATTTCTCGTGAGAAATGGAATGAGTTTGTGGGCCTAGAGTTGTGAATTCGACAGCCAGGTCTATACACCACTTCAAAAGATTTGAGACTAATTTGTGAGGTTCGAAAATTTTCTTGTTGTGAGTGTTCCAGATCACCCAAAGAGCAAAAATGCATAAGACTCCCTAAGGAATAAAGAGAAAAGGGGATAATGAAGGGTCAATGTAGATTTTTTTGAGCCAGCTTATGAAAAGGAGATGGTTTATATTGTGGAGCCAATATGGTTTAAGACCTGTCCAGAAGTGTACTGCTGAATTACATTTCCTAAGGGTATGATCTATGTCTTCACAGTGCAAGGAACAAAGCTGACAGGTGTTATCCGAAAGAATATTCCTTTGATGGAGTAGATGTCTAGGTTCTAGTCTGTCGTGGTTCGCTAACCAGATAAAGAACCTGATTCTGTTTGGGACTTAGAGAGTCCAAATCCAGTTAAAGGAGAGAGTAGAGGGAATGGAGCATTCATTTTGGCATTGAAGGCTAGATAATAGGGTGATTTTAGTTGAAAGTTGTCGTCAATGGAGGGACTCCATTTGAGGCAGTGTTCTGAGATAACATGGTGGGATCTAGGTATGGATAGTATTAAACTAGAGATTTCATGTGGAACGTAAAAGGACAAGAGATCTAAATTCCATCCTCCATTGGTGTCAAAGAGATCAGCCACTCGGAGATCTTCTTCATATCCTTGTAGGGGTCCCTGAATAAAGGATCTAAGGCTAGATGTTGTGAACCAGTTACTAGTCCAGACTTTTAGAGATAAACCATTTCCATTCCATCCCAACCCTCGTTCAATGATGTCTTTTCCTACTTTAAGGTTTCTGAGGTTGATTGAACCTGTAAAGGAAGTAAAGAAAAGCCTATTTTGTATCAGGGATTGGGTTTTGTCAAGGTAGAGATCCGAAAAAATGTTCACCCAGGATTTGGGAGAACCTTTTAATAAATGCCACCCTGTTTTAGAGAGGCCAACCTTGTTAAGAAGCAGAGTTTGCCTGAGCCCCAGACCCCCTTGGGGTCTCTTAAGAGTAATAGTGTCCCAATTTAGTAGGTGAATTTTCCTCTTGTCAGAGGTAGATCCCCACAGAAAATTTCGTTGTTCCCTATCAATGGCTTGGCAAATATTCTTTGGGATAGAAATCGCCTGAAAGAAATAAGTTGGAATGGAGGAAATGCATTGTTGGAGTATGGCTTTCCTTCTTGCTAAAGATAGAAGGTTGGCTTTCCATCCTTGCAATTTTTTCTGCATTTTTTCAAGTAAGAACTGGAAGGACTTGGTGGGTGATTTGTGAAGTGTGATGGGAAACCCCAGGTATTTGCCTAAGTCATTTGTGGAGCTAATACCAAGAGTATTGGAAATGGTGATTTTGGTGAGAGGGTCAATATTGGGAGAGAAAAGGAGTTTTGACTTAAAGAGGTTGGTTTGGAAACCAGAAATGGAGAAAAACTGGTCTAGCACACTCTTGACAGAATTGATGGATTGTGCATCTGTGCTAGAGAAAAGAATTATGTCATCTGCAAATAGGCAGTGTGATAAGGAATGGCCAGTTCTACCAAACTTCAGGGATTTTCACCGTTTATCTTCAACTTCCTGATTGATGGATAGGGAAAGATATTCCATGTAGAGAATAAAGATATAGGAGGAAAGGGGGTCTCCTTGACGAATACCCCTAGAGGGTACAAAGTAAGAGGAAGCAGCACCATTGTGAAGGATGGCAAATCTGGTTGAAGAATTGCAATGCATAATGAGGAATATAATGGTTGTGGGGAATTCAAAGAATCGAAGGACTTGCTGAATAAAATCCCATTCAAGGTGATCATAGGCTTTGTGAAGGTCTAGTTTAATAGCACAAACACCCCCACTTACCTTTCTTCCTATTGATTCTATGAATAGCTTCTTGGACAAGAATCACATTGTCTGTCCCACTTCTTGAAGGAATGAAACTTG